TGGGATCGGATCGGGTCGGATCGGGTCCTATCGGGTCGGGGGCAATCGCCCCACTCGTCGCATGACGTTTCTTTTTGAGGCGGCGAGTCGGGCGCGATCGGTTTATGCCATGATAGCCGCTTTGCGCCCTCAATCTGGCTAGCACACCGGCCCGACCAGACCCATTCCCCCAATGGACACCCGGTATTACACTCACGTTCACATTTCTGGGTTTTTATGTGTGTGCACACGCACGTGCTGTGAGTAATGTACAATTGACAAAGATAGGGAACTTCACATAGAAACTACAGAAAAAGTGAAGTTTGTTTGGTTGCTAGGACGAATCCTTTGTTTGGTTGCTAGGACTGACTAACACTTTGTTTGGTTGCTAGGATACCGTCCTGGATCTGCTGAAGGAAGCCATGCTGTCCCGCGTGGAGACGAGTCGAGGCTTCCTGATAGACGGCTACCCCCGGGAGCTGGAGCAAGGCATGCGCTTTGAGAAGGAGGTTTGTACATCCCTGTCATTTGTCATTGTTGTACGTCGAAATTGGACGTTTTCAGGAGAGGCTAAACACTGTTTTATTTCAATCAGAACACTTTCTTTATCCAAAATGTTTAATTCATCTCGATACATTTCTATTTTAAGGAGAGCAATGAGACTATGACCAATCGATACGCCTCATAAAACTCTACGACATGCTCGATTTTCATTTTTTTAAAGAAATATTGACACACTTCACTTCTGTACCGCCCACTCTTTGGTAGCTCTACACACTTATAATTAATTAAATATTTTTTTTCTAAATGTTCAGAAACTTGACGTTTAGCCTCACGACTCGGTGACAGCTCTATTAATAATAATAAATAATAATAAATGACATTTATATAGCGCTCAACCCCGAATAAAGTACACAGGCTCTGAGCGCTTTACAATACAGTACAACATACAACAGTAACATGAAACGTTGTGTTCTGACTAAAGAAAATTATTCCAAATATTCATCTTATTAATTTCTCTCAACGTAC